TCTGTCTGTTCCTGTGTGTGTGTGTGTGTGCGTGAGGAGGGTACAGCGGCCTCTCTTTGTTGTCCAGGGTAAGAGGATCCCGGCAGGTGAAACCCTACCTGGCCACAGAGCCGACCAGACAGAGGCAGCGGGGCCCAAATACCTCCGCTGTGAGAAAAAGAAGGACGCAAGCCTTTCAGCAACTGACCAGTCATTGGGTTTCATTGGGCTTCATTGTGTGCGCGTGTGTCATCGTGAGTCAGGTGGATAGAGGTTCTGGTGGGGAGTTAAAGGCGACGATGGGGCTAAATTGGTAAACATGAAAGTGGGGCAGATTGAGAGTGAAACGGATTACTTTTTACCTATGGAGGCAACTCTCCCTGTCCACAGGGGTAATCCATGCCTGCATAAATAATTTAGCAAATGCTCAGTGTGTCTGTGTTTGTGAGCCTGGGAGGAAACTCTGCCTTTGTTTATCTGTGCTGTGCAGTAAATATCTGCAAACCCGTTTTTTCTTTCCACATTGGAAGTCAGCAAAATGTAATTTCTCTGTTTGCCAATTTATCGGTATTAGAGGGGATAAGGATTTACTTCTTATAATTACTACTCTCCAGCCGTGGCATCTCAATCAGTACAGTCATACTCCCATGCCCACACTCACGTTCACACACAGACACAAACACACACACACACACACACACACACATGCACGCGTATCCCAATATTCCTCTCCCCCTCCTGAGAAAGGCAGAGCCCGTCACACATGTCAATGAGATTCCGGGGTATTCAACAGTCAATCCCCGTCAGCCTCAAATTGATCTCATCTCAAATGGAGCCAAAAGAGACGATTTACATATTCATGGTGAGACTGAACAACGCTGACTACATCGGATGAGGGTCACCTTCAGGGAAGGCCGAACAGCTAACACCACGTCAATGCGAAGCCAGAACAAGCGCAAGCCTGCGGTGTTATTGGCCTCTTCGCCAATAAGGTTTTGTCTGTAATCCACTTAAAACCAACACTACTCTTATCTCACCACTCTCGATGGACTTCCTTTATTGTGCTTTATTCTGCTTTTTTACACACACAACTTTATCCCCATGTGTAACGCTTTCCTTTTATTAACAATATTATTCTGACCGTTTTACTTCTTTGACAGCAAGGACTTGATGTACATATCTGTTTCACCAGAGAAAACAAAGACTTAGATGCTTAGATGCTGCGTTTTCATCAAGGAGAACATGGCTCGGGAGGAATACGTGAGTGTGTGTGTGTGTGTGTATGTGTGTGGCAATGACAGCTATTGATCATGCTTGTTTGAAATTGTTGAACATCAGCATATTTAAACAGACGGGTTTTGTACATGAATAAAAGTCAATTTAAGAATAGAAAAGTACTAACTTTGAAAAAGTGCAACGACTCGTTGAGTGAACATTTATATTATTTTGAGCATCGCGGGAAGCAACATAAACGTTTGCACTTTAACCCCAATTGCTCTCAACTCCTTGGGGATTAAGTGCTGAAGAGGTCCAAGTCTGCTGAGTGTCTAAATTCATATTTCAAGTTTATGTAAGTTCTGTAACCAGAAAATGATGGAAACAATTGATACCGCTGCCACGAGAATTCCTTGCATTCATCTGCTGTTCAGACGGTGAATGTGATAGCAGGTAAAGCCAACACTTAGACTATGACGTATCCTCTGAGGCACTTCAAAAAGTGAAATAGCCAGCGCTTTAACGATCCGATGATACAAATGAGAAACCGCTTCGGCGCTGAGGGACAGAAAGCGTAGAAAGACAGGGAATAGCTTTTATCGAGCGTGACGCAAAGAAATGGGATCTGGCTTTGTGGGCATTGGAGTGGTAATTGAATCAAAGATCTAGATCTGCTCAGAGGGAAATCCCAGCAACGTTGTTGTATTGGATCTGAAATGTAGTGTGATGGCTCAAATACAGATTTAATGGAGAGTGAAGATCAGCTTTGAAGCTCCTCCAATTGATGTGGCTAATAGCTTTCTATACGAATTCAGAGTCAAAATTGGAATTAGACACTTTGCATTAATATAGTTGTTAATTCATTTACAGCTTTCCTTGCTTCCTTCCCCCATAAGAACCGCCTTAGTCAGGACGAGATGAAGTCACGTCCGCTAACAGCTGATCAGGATAAACTCCTAATTGGTAGCATCATTGTTATATCAGCTTATGCAGGTTTTTTTGCATTTATTAATTGACCGTTTGCGGCTAAAAAGTCATTGGGAATGATCTGGTCACAGCCAGTAACAAGGGACCGAACCATCCCGTTTGACATCTTCCACTGTGTAATATATTCCGTTTAAATTCTAAACGTGTTTCAAATCAGTTTGTCCGACGTGATAAATGGTGAATACTGAGTAAAAATATTTAAATATGCTTTGCAGTGTGATATGTATGTGTAATGGCGTCTCGGTTTTTGCTCCGTGTGGCTCGTTAACCGTCGCAAGAAGCTGAGGACGCAGCGCTGTGAAGCTTAATGTGGTGTTACAATTCCAAACAACGCAAAATTATAATCGGAAAAGGGAAAGCTGTTACCATTTACTTTCAACAACACCATCTGCATGAATATGTAAATGTTGACAAGAGGACCTGGTCTGGGAGATTATACACTTGTGGCAGATGATAATAAATTCAGACAGAGAGTTGTTTACAATCAAAGCTGATGGTTGTTTGTCCCTGAGGACAAGCTCAGCCAGAGCATATTTTCAAAGTGCGCGTAGAGTAGATGGAGGAGCTGCGATCATAAATCTAAAAATATGTACACATTTTTGGCATTCATTGCATGTACCGTTCATCTCACCATTTTCAGCTTAGCATACATCAGTTATCTCGTGGCCCAACAAATGTTGCAGAATGTCAATTTTGAGAACATTTCATCTTACTCGTTGCAGGCCCCCCCCCCCCCCCCCCCGAGTCATGCCTGTGTATGACGAGAGCAGTCCTTCTGAAAGAGAATAAATCACTTGCAGAGCTTGACAGTGTGGCAGCAGATGACGGCCGGAGGGTAGCTGGATGTTTGCAGTGGACGTGAGGGCCTCTCGCTGTGCCTTTCTTCATAATAGCACCAGGCAGTTGTGGAGGATATGTTTGCAAGTGCAGGTTGGTTTTTTACCACCGGTTGTCCATCACAAGAGAGCAGGGACCACGCGGGGACAGATTACCGTATATTACCTCAGGGGGCTGTTTATATCTGACTGTCAATCTGTGCAATGCCAGTTACACTTTGACTGTAACGTCCCTTCAGAATTTTGGGCAGAGGTGACGTGTAGTTGCAGAGAACATTTGCTCTAAGTTTAGTAAAATGAGAGCTCCGGGTGTATGAGCCGAGAACACCGACAAAAGTGCACATTACCCCGGCAGGTTCTCAAACATTAATGAGTTCTTCAGCTCATGTTGCTCCACAGAGGCCAGTTGGATTTCATTGCGTAATGCAATGCTCTCTTTTAGCCTTTATTGTGCCAATGAACCTCTGTTTATTTGCTAGGATGTTTTCTATCACTGCTCCCTTAGCTCACAAGCCAGAATAGCAATGACTTTTCATCATCCAAAAGGACTAGTGGATCCCTGCTCATGCAGCAGGTCACATGTACTTTAAATGAACCCACAGACTGTCTACCTAACTGGGATGTGTAAACTGATTGAAACTGTCTGTATGCTTTTCTAATATCACACTGACAAAATGGGTAAAAACTGTAATCTATGACGCTAAAGTAGTTCATCTGTAATGTCTATAATGAAAAATATGAAACACTTTTTCTGTTATTTACAATTTTCACTTATTCATCAAATGTGTTATAGGAGCAACTTCAAGGACGTTATCGCAAAGGCTGCTCAAAATGCATTTGCATAGCAATAAAATAATAGCAGGCATGCTCATTTAGAAGCGTTCTGCTGTCAGGGGAGAGCTGAATCAAAGTATTAAGGGCTGTCCATGGTTGTGAATTATCTACTGATTTATCCTCCTGCTTTGCTTTCTCTATCCCCTCCCCCTCTGTTTCTCTCACATGCACTCTACCCATCTATCCATCCATCTCCTTATCTTATGCCTCTCAGTGGTCCTACATCAACTGTAACCTTCTCCCACTGCGAGTTTGCATGTTACAACCAAAGATGCAAGGGCATGAAATTGGTTTCAACAAGAGAGATGGCCAGAAGAGGCAGAGCTGTAAAGGCTGACTTGAGGGAACTACATGAAGACATGATGAAAGACCAGCTTTAACCACCCTAGAAATGTCAGAAAGCTGAACTACATTTAACACTCAAAATTGCAGATACATATCAACCCTGAATAGCCCCATTACTGCCCAATGCGTTTTGTACCATAGCCTGAAAGATGAAATTTAACAGATTGTCTGTGGAACAAATGGTAAAAAAATGGTAAAAATGAGACTTAATTGAGGTTCTTTTCCCCTTCAGAGACAATTTTAAGACGACACGTGCACAGGAGCGGGGTTGAAGTGTGATGTGATGGCGCCCACTAGTGCTCAAACAGTTTACCAGCCCCTTCTTCAGTTGATTCAGGCTACACAGCGGTCTGCATACACTGCTGCATTACAATTCAGTTCAACGCACAGGTTAAGACCACCATCAAAATAACCATCACGATGAAGACAATGAAAAAATGGGGACCCATTGGTGCTTATTACGTGTTGGCTCACGTTACAGTCATACCTGCTGTGCCTCTTGTGATGCCAACTTAATGAGAGCAGGTGCAAAACACTGAGCTGCAAACACACAAACGAATGTTATTACTACTCCTAATATTAGTAGCCCTAATTTCATGAGGGTTACACCCTCCCCCCTTGACTCTGCATAGGTCCCTTCATGCTTCACTGGGTTTCAGTATAAAAAAAAAAAATTGTATTTATTTATTTATTTATGTTCTGCATAAACTCCTGCTTCAAACTTCACTCCAGATGGTGGCGGTAATACACCTCTAAGATGGTTTGCTAACCGCCAATATAAACTAAAAGAAGAGGAGGAAGAAGAAGAAGAAGAAGAACCAGAAGAATCAGAAGAACCAGAAGAATCAGCAGCAGCGTCAGAAAGTCACCAGAGTTTCACGTCAACATCTTTAAAGTGTTCAGATAGCTGTGAGTATTGTCCCGTGATACAGTGTGTGTTTGTGTGGTAACGGGCCGTGAACCTTTTTAAAGTTTGTTTTACCGTCTAAACGAGAAACACGGAAGTACCTCGTTTGTTCGTTTTTCTCGTTTTAAACCAAAACTGAGTAAACGGAAAACGCCCGTTTTCCCGTTTTTGTTGTTCAAAGCCGAAAACCAGCGGTTTTGACTTCGGTAAATCGCTTATTGTTTTTGCCTACAGAAGCGCAGCAGCGCAAACCGGAAATGCGCACTTGTTTGTAGAGTCAAAGCGACGGAAGGTTCGTGCGCTGCTGATTCACCTGCGAAGCGAGCAGATACCACGTGACACCAGAAGACACGTTAGTTTGTGAATATATAAAATATAATATAATACATGTGTTAATATAATAAACACAATATATACATAGATTGTCCCGCAGTGTTTCCCCTGGCTTTAACACAGCTGTGGACCTCACAGTATTGAGGTTCAGATGACCTCACAGTAGTGGTCTCTATGGACGAGACATCTAGCCTTTTTTCATTTATTTGTGTGTGTGTGTGTGTGTGTGTATCATCGGTGGAAGGTTGCTTTTTCAGAACGGCACAAGCCGATCTGTTGGGTATTTTGCGACATTTTTTTTTCTAACTTTATTGATAATCTCGCAAGTAGCGCAGCGTCTTGATGCGATGTGTGTCTCAATGCAATGCTTCAGAAATGAAGACTGACATTTGGCCGATGTTTTGATAACTGACCGCTGCCAGTTCAGTGTTTCCCAACCTAATAACCGTTATAACCTGTTGCACAATAAAGGAGATTGAAATCACATCTGGATTCTAAAAGATGCACCACTGTGATCACATGTCTTCGAGCTACAGCTCCAGTCCTTTAGCCTTTAACCCTCAATACAGGAGGAGCATTTAAAATGACGTCTCTTGACATCTTAACATGGTTTGAAAGAATGAAAATGAACGTTTGACAGAAAACATCAACACACAAAGTGTCCCATGAGTTTTAGTGTTGAGGGGAATGAGCTCTGAGTGTTTGTCCTGATGAAGATAAAGAACATGTGGGCTCTGCCAGCAGGTTGTTGTGAAGGTGTGGACTCTGCTATGAATCAGGCTCAGGACCGCGGCGTCCCTCCCTCTGAAGCCCCTTTGTGTGGGGAAAATGACGGCCAGACCAAAGCTCAGAGGTGAGGGAACCATCTCCAACTGTCCTCCACTCTCCTCTATGTCCCAACGTCTTTGACTCACTGACTCTGCTTCTACATGTGTGACCAGGATCCATCAGAGACCAGAACCTGATCCTCAACCTGGACCTGAACCCAGTGTTTCCATGAAGAGAAGCCAGTCTATGGAGAATTTAAGAAACTTCAGCGATGGCCGTAACTTTAGTGTTTCTTGCAGTTCACATCAGCAGAGAGAGTAAGTTCTTAAAAAGTCGAAGAACTGTTCTGATTCACAGTTATGAATTACAGAAATGGTCGCGTATTTAAAATGTTTCCATAACGATCAATCATGACTGAACTCATTATCTTTATCTAACTGGTCTTGATGTGTTTAGGTGTGAATCATTAACTGTAAACCTCCTCAGATGTAACCACAATGTGAGCTAGTTCCTCCACATCACGATCAGGAGAGGTCACATCTTGAGGTAGCTGCAGGTTTCTGGAGACCGATGACTGAACATGTGTTTAAAATAAACTCTGTGTGAAACGGTCCAAAGACTAGTTTCAGAAGATCTAAGGAGACTTCTAGAGGTCAGGGGACGGAGTAAAGCGGTTTGGAGTAGTTCCATAGGACTTTGTATCCGATGAAGAGATCTGGAGACGTTGTTCTTATGACCGACAGTAAGAACTAAAAACGGATGAAACTGATAACTGTCACTCAACTAATAAACTGTCCAACCATTGACTGTCTTCAGCATCTGGTTTTCACGATGATCAATCATGACAGAAGCCAATATATTTAATGTTGTATGTGTGTTGATGGTTGATGTTTCTCCGCAGAGAGAACCAGGAGAGCTCTGAGGTTCCTACAGGTCCGTCTGACCAGCAGCATCAAACACACCTGGACTCAATCTTCATGGTGTGTACCTTAACAACTACTTTTAAATCTGTCAGTTCACCATCATCTCCATGCTGTACTGTAGTAGATTGTCCATCTGTCCAACATGGACCTGATGGTGGCTTCCATGGTTCTAGTTTGAGTCATTCATAGAATGTTTTGTTCCAGCTGCTGGAGAACATCCTCACTTTTGTGAAGAACGAGCTGAAGATCCAAAAGGTTGTGAGTTCAGATTACCCAGAATGCTTAGAGAAGGAGGGTGAGGAGGTGCTGGATGAAGAGCAGAGGAGGAGCAGAGAGGCATTTGTGACTATCTCCGTGCACTTCCTGAGGAGACTGAAGCAGCAGCAGCAGGAGGAGCTGGCTGACCATCTGCAGAGCAGTAAGAGGATTTCTCTACACACTTACCATGCTGATAAATGAGACCTTCACTTATGTTTCAAGAGATGGACAGAATATATTCATGGAGTCACTCTCTGAGGAAAGGAGGTGTTGAAATCTTTCTTTGACTCATTGATCTTCTTTGTTGTCTTCATTCAGGACTTCTTGCTCCAGTTTGTCAGGGTGAACTCCAATCTAACCGGAAGAAGTTCCAGTGTGTGTTTGAGGAGATCGCTAAAGCAGAACACACAATCCTTCTGAATGCTGCTCCTGTTGCGTAGCAACCTGCTGCGCTTGACAGTAAAAGTCTTAAAAGCCAAACAAACGCTCAAACCGAGTTGCCGACGGGCGCACAAACCGAGTTGCCGAGTTGCGCAAAAACCGAGTTGCCGACGGGCGCACAAACCGAGTTGCGCAGAAACCGAGTTGCCGAGTTGCGCAAAAACCGAGTTGCCGACGGGCGCACAAACCGAGTTGCGCAGAAACCGAGTTGCCGAGTTGCGCAGAAACCGAGTTGCCGAGTTGCGCAGAAACCGAGTTGCCGATGGGTGCACATACCGAGTTCCCGACGGGCGCACAAACCGAGTTGCGCACAAACCGGGTTGCCGGTGGGCGCACAAACCGAGCTGCGCAAAAGACCAGTTGCCGACGGGCGCACAAACCGAGATGCCGACGGGCGCACATACCGAGATGCGCACAAAACGAGTTGGCGACGAGCGCACAAACCGAGATGCGCACAAACCGAGTTGCCGAGTTGCGCAGAAACCGAGTTGCCGATGGGTGCACATACCGAGTTCCCGACGGGCGCACAAACCGAGTTGCGCACAAACCGCGTTGCCGATGGGCGCACAAACCGAGATGCGCAAAAACCGAAGTGCCGACGGGCGCACAAACCGAGTTGCCGACGGGCGCACATACCGAGATGCGCACAAACCGAGTTGGCGACGGGCGCACAAACCGAGATGCGCACAAACCGAGTTGCCGACGGGCGCACAAACCGAGATGCGCACAAACCGAGTTGCCGACGGGTGCACAAACCGAGTTGCGCACAAACCGAGTTGCTGACGGGCGCACAAACCGAGATGCGCACAAACCGAGTTGCCGACGGGCGCACAAACCGAGATGCGCACAAACCGGGTTGCCGGTGGGCGCACAAACCGAGCTGCGCAAAAAACGAGTTGCCGACGGGCGCACATACCGAGATGCGCACAAACCGAGTTGCCGACGGG